TCTCTCTCCTTTTTCTCTGCTCAGTTCCACCCTCCTTCTGGGTGGGGCAGGGAACCTGGAACTTCCCTTCTCCTAGGGACCACCCAGTTACAACTACTTTCTTCTTTATAGACATAAGTCAGTCCAGTTTCTGTGTTTTAAACAATGAGTAATGTTTCTGAGCTCTCTGGTCCCACATAAGGCCCTTTTTAGGATTGAGAAGAATTTAGCACTAGCACGACCTTTCTCAATAAGTGAAACAAATTAGAATTCAAATTTCTGGCCAACAAACCACCTCTTTACAAACCCTCTCTCTCGACACTATTCTTGGCCTCCACATTGAGGCTTTACACAGAAAAAATTGTATTGAAATACACTCATATTTAATTGCAACTGATCATTTGCAAATCTGTCTTCCAGCCCTTGATAAGAAAGATATGTCTCCACCTCTGTTTTCCCTACATTGCTGAGCACCAAGTCTTGAATGAAACAGATAACCAGTAAAGTTTAATGAATGGATGAATGAATGGACCTAGACTACTTTGGTGGGGCTTTACATTCTGAGACACTGTTTGTTGTTGTTGTTGTTGTTGTGTTTTAAGATTTATTTGTGCATACAGAACTGGGGTACAGGCCAGAGGTGCAAGGGGTGGTGAGAGGATTCACCACAGACAGAGAGGGGAGCAGAACAGGCAGATCATCAAAGTATACTGCTGAGAGGAGCAGTGGGCAGGCCAGGAGAGGTCTGCTGTGCCATGTGGGTCATCTCCGGGGGGGGGGGGGGGGTCGAACTCATGCTGAAGTGCTTTAGATTCTCAGTGCTGTGCTTTAACCCGCTGTGCCACCAGGGAGGGCCCTGAGACACTGTTTTATTACTCTCTGGAAAATTTATTCATTCCTGTATTTGTAAAATGCTGGGAACTTCCCAGAATTTATATACCTTAGCATTTGCCAACTAAAATCTTGAGAGCTGAGAAGCAATATGGGGTGGAGTAGGGGCGGGGAAATCATCTTTTTACAAGGAAGAAATGTATAAATAAACGTGAGATAGTTCAGATTTTTAGAGAAGCTATGTGGTGTCAAGTCAAACCTCAGAGAAAATTGCCACAAAGCTGCAGGAAATGAGGTTATAATTATACCAAAACCCTAAAGCTGAACAAAACAAAGAAACAAAAAATTTTATTTAAAATATTTGGCAAATGTTGAAGTGTTAGTGTTAAATATAGTGATGGATATAAGACTTGATCATACTACTATTCTCTCTAGTTTTTTCTGTAAGTTTAAACATTTTTATAATAAACATGAAAATTTGAAATTGGAAATCATCATTGTCTCTCTACTATTTTAAAAATTAGTCATCAGACAAGGCAACAATGGAACCAGAGCTATGTGGATCTTGCCATCTTAAAATTAAGTTTTCACAGGTCCCGCGAATATTATAGTATGATAGCCATAAAGCTGTTCTTACTTGTGCTAAAGAGTAAGAAATTTGGAAGTATGATGATTATTATTTATTTATTTTGCTTAAGAATTAGGTAGAGGGCCCTCCCAGGTGGCACAGCAGTTAAAAGCTAAAGCCACTTCATCCTGAGTTCCATCCCCGCCCCAGATGTGATCCACATGGCGTGGCAGACCTCTCTGTCTCACCCGCTGCTCCCCTCAGCAGTGTACTTGTCAGTCAGCCTGTTCTGCTCCCCATTCTGTCTGTGGTGAATCCTTTCACCGCCCCTGCTCCTCTGGCCTGTACCCCAGTTCTGTATGCATAAATAAAGAAATCTTCAAAAAAAAATTCGGTAGAATCTGAATTTCTGAAATAGAATAGAGATCATTTTACCAATCCTCTCACTTTACAAATGAGAAAATTGATGCCCAGAGAAATGAAATAATTATTAATCTCAGAGTCAGGACAAAAACCTAGATCTCTTTAAACTCTGGTCTCTCTATTACCTTGATTGGCACATAACAAGAACTGTCACAGCATGGAACCGAAAGAAAGGAGAGCATACTTCAGGAACAACATTTCCACTTGCTGAGTCCCCAAGCCTCATTTTTGCTATGTGCAGACAGGGAGCTATTCTGTTAAGTAGATTCTCAGGGTCAAGGCAGTGGAACCACTAGAGCTAAACATTTTACTAACGTGAAGACCAGAGAGGCAGCCACCAACCCTAGTAGTCAGTTGTGTGAATTGTGTTCAAAATGTATAGATGGTGAGAAGCAGAGCATCGCCTTACTGGATCTACAAAGAAGACAGCAAGAGTGGGCCCAGAGCACCACGGAACGGAATTTATTACACCTCGGCCTCTCACCAACTAATTCTCAAGCTAGCTGGATCCGAGGCGATTCAGGAGAAAATATGTCACTGGACTATTAATGTGAGCCACATAGTTCTAGACAGGGGGCTAGGGGTATGACAAGTACTATCTGAGAGTAGGTTGAATGTAAGACACGTGGGGGCGTGATTTTTTTTTCTATGATTTTCCCCACAGGCGACTGCCCCCCACCCCCTCCGCTGCCCCCCAGAGAGAAAGACATCAGTTCTCCATTCCCTCACTGGTGTACATGAAATGTGTGGGTCCTGCTTTGGTCTCAGGTTGGTTAGGTTTTGATTCTTAAAACAAGCGTATGGAGTGCTGGGCGCCCTTCGTTAAACAGACTTCCAAGCGAAGGTCGCACTTACAATCTCAACAGGCAAGGTCAGGAAACAGCTCCGGCCGAGAGCGCCTCGTTGCGCGTGCGCGCCAAGCCTGTACCCGAGGGGACGACTTAACCGGTTCCGCAGACCCGGAGAGCACCGAGGGCGTCCCACGAGCCGGCGCAGGCGCATCCCGCACACGGACACTCGTCGGTGCGCAGGCGCGCATCTGGCAGCTCTTCACATCCTGTAAACAGAGGGGCCCACCGGAGACGACTTGTGCTTCCGGGTCACGCCTTGACAGCTGCTCTCCCGACCGGTCTCTGGCCTGCGGTTCGGTGAGTGCGGCCCTCGCTGCGGTCCAGTCTGCAGCCAGCTTCCCCAGCCCGGGACACTGCGCCCGGTAACGCTCCCTCCGCTCCCCACTCAAGGTTCGCGAGCCCTCGAGGCTGAGACGTCGTTCCGGCCTTGGGGGCATCGGGCAGGGGTCGGTTCTCTCTTATGCTCCCCTTGCCGCACTTTGCAGGTGTCCAGCACTGGGAGCCCTGCAGGGATTGTTGCGAGCTTTTGGAAGGCTATGAGAAAGTGATACCACACGCCTTAGGATTCCGTGCCCTTGCCCCCCAGCCCCTAGCCCCTAGCCCCTAGCAGGTGCGCTGAGGTTGGGGGCACTTCTAGATCCGCAGAGGGACTCCCTCCTTAGCTCCCGAGCCGTCGCTCTCCCACTTTACTTCTGACTTCATAATGAAAGCCCTTTGCTGCTTTCTCCGGATCCAAGTGAAAGAGTACGGGGAAGAGAGAACCTCCAGCTCCTGCAGAGAGATGGGGCCACTTGAGAGTCAAATCGTGTTGGACTGCTGTCAGGAGATAGATCACGGGCAGATTTCCTGACCCTAACTGGCCATGAATGTGGCCTGTGTACTCCAAGTTTCACTCTTCACCAGGAATTGCGAGACCGCAGCAGGGGACTCTGGTCATATTTTGTCTGGCGGTCAGGAGTGCCTCAAAGATGATCATAGCCTTAGATTTTTCATATTCTCATGGTTCCAGAAACGGTTAAGCCTTCCATGTTAGCCTCTGCCTTCTGCCCCATTCTTGGAATCGCTAACTCATGATCTTCTGCCTTTTCTCTTGCAATGAAGAAGTATAAGGGTGTTTGAGGAGTTTAGTGACTGTTAAGACATTAAGACATAATGCCTAGTCTAAACTATCTAGGAAATTTCAGACATTTTGTATGAACAATTGTCCGCACTTAGCCATCAATAAAGTGGGAGTGAAGAGCAACCAATTTGAATCATTAATACTTATGAATTGAATGTTTTTAAATTGCATTATCAATTATTGCTGTATATATTTTAAACAAATGACTAATTATTAGAAAATAGAACCTATTAAAATTCATTACATATGGGAATAATGTCACAAAAAAATACGTCATGTAGAATTACCAGAGTTAACTAGGATATTTCCCTTAGTAATCATCACATATATAACAGGTATAGTTACTGTAATTTTTTAATTTCTTAGGATTCAAAGTAATAAGCTTTACATTGGTTCAACAGTATTTATTGAGAAAGCCATGCATCAGGCACTATTGAAAATAAGCCTGTATTTACCCCCAGAGGTTCCTGAGTAGTTACAACTAGGCAGCTGATACTGCATACTGTATTTTTACACAAGCTTTGATATATACTTTTTAAAATAGAAATCCTACTCCTCATTTCCTGTAATTTTAAATGTTGCCCAACTAATGTATGGCTTGTAGTCAAAACTTTTATTATAGTTCAAATTAAGTATGTTGCATTATTTTCTTCTTCTTTCCCAGAGCTCTGTCATGGTGCATTTCAGCATTTATTGCCCACATCTATTTAACAGCCAATTATTAAGTTTTAATTCTTTTTGTACTCTTAAATCTCCCTGTTTGCCTATAGCAAGCAATGCTATTGGTATGAACTTTGAAATTTATATAGATGACACCAGAGTAATTGCAGTTTTGTGTCCCTTCCTTGTTTTAGAATATTGCCTTAAATTTTTTTTTCTTTGCTAGAGACATTTTAAACTATTGCATCTGATATCTGATGCTGGTCATTACTAACATTTGATACATTTGATCCATAGCCTTTCCTCTTCACAGGTAACAGTCACTTCTATACCCTTCAGTCAAAGAAAGAATATCTACTAAATATCTACTTTTGCAACACCTGTGACTGTGAACTTGGTTTTATGGGGAAAAAAGTAGAAGACATGGACCTGCCTTCCAGCTGATTATAATTTAGAGAGTAAAGCAATATAAACTTAATTATACAGCAAGGTCAAATATAATAAATAGCTAAAAAGTATTGGTGATACAAAGACCACAAAACTCAGGGGAGAGAAATAACACTTTGTGGCTTCCTCAGTGTTTAAAAATTTCCTTGCTTGTCTATTCTTGGTTGTAAACTACACACACCTACATGGGGTATTAGGGCCTTTGGGGTTGTAAAGGGGGATGGATCTTGTGGTAGACTAGGATGGAGAGTAGAACTAAGGTACTGAGATTCAGATCACCTACACATAGGTTTTTCCAGCTCCCTAAGCAATTATCGCTATTTATTTTCATATGATTAAGGAAAAAATGATGTTAATCACTGATCTCACTGATCTTGAGATTTGCTATTATTATTGAAAAGGCCTCAGGACTCCTGACCCTAAGGACAGTATGCTCAGTGACACTGAAGGTGCCTAAAACTTCTCTGTTTCAGGCACTTTGGAGCATGTGAACATACTCTGAGCCTTGATGAGTTCCAGTATGTGGTATATTATGCAGAGCATTCAGAGTAAATACTCTCTCTCAGAGCGCTTAATCAGAACAATCGCTGCCATTCGTTCCTTCCCACATGACAATGTAGAGGACCTCATCAGAGGGGTGAGTGTGCTGTGCTTACATGAGAGTCCTTTGGGAGGTGAGGTGGGGCAATCCTGGGGAGTCCTAATAAGATTACAGATATGCAACTTTGCCTCAGCACAGAGCACGGTCTTCTGAGATGTATTACCTTGATCACTTTCCCCTTGTTTTGCTTCTTTTCCCTTCCACCCTTCCCTTTTTGTGTTATCTGCTATTTTTCTTCAGGAAATGTGTTCTAGATAACCCATTTCTTATCATCTTTGTAAAAGTCGGTGTGGGCTCGGTTTGTATGAGATCCAGCAAGCTCAAAGTCTTCTACATACATGCTAGGGGAGAAAGGGGATTCAAGCAAAGCAGTAGTAGTTTTCAAATCTTTGTGGGTATTTTTTTTTTAAGATTTATTTTATTTATGCTTACAGAACTGGGGTACAGGCCAGACATGTGGTGAGTGAGAGGATTCACCAGAGACAAAGTGGGGAGCAGAACAGCAGGTCTACTGAAATACACTGCTGAGGGGAGCAGCGGGTGGGTCAGGAGAGGTCTGCCACACCATGTGGGTCAGCTTTCTGGTGGGTCATCCAACACGTGCTGCAGTGGCTTTGGAGAGCTTCATAATGCAGTGTTTTAACCTGTTGCACCACCAGGGAGAGCCCAAGTCCTTATGGGTTTTGATGGTTACATCGAAAGATAGTACTTGCCTTCTTAAAAATAGCTGTCACTTTTAGCTCTACAGAAAAAACAATTCCTAAAATGTATAATTTTTTTTAAAGATTTATTTATGTATTCGTACAGAACTGGGGTACAGGCCAGAGATGCGG